GACCCTCTTCAGGTAGAGGACCACAAAAATCTATTCTTTAGGGATCTGGGAGAAGAGGCCCTCACTGCACTAAATCTGATCCATTGAGGAATGTAACCAGAGAAATTTCGGAGGTGCTTTAGGAAAACCATTTGAGTTGGCATTTCACTGTAACCTTTTATGAATCAATATACCATTTATGACTCAATATGCATTACAGATTTGGACTGAAGGCCTCTTTAAGGGTGCCTATTATTGTAAAGAGACAGTAAGATCATGGGTAATAGCTTGCTTAGCTTAAATTGCTTAAATATATTATTAAATATGTCAAATTATTTTAAAATATGACAAAACAAGCATAAAAAAGCTGAAACATCTAAAAATCAAGATGTAAACTGACATCATATTTCTTATGTTACTTTGTTCATTCAGTCATGGAAATTAATACATTCTTTCAAAAGCAATATGAATTTCTATGAGTATACATTTTTCTAGCTTTGTTTATTAGAAGAAGAAGAATCAAATTCTGTAATCACAAATGCTTGAAAATGAGTGTGAACCCAGAAGAACATTCTGTTCTAGACACTTGTGAAATTATTTACAATATTTTTATTAAATTATTTTAATATATTGTCAACAGTGCGTTTAAACAAACAAGCAGCTTTGTTGTCATATGATGAATATTATATAAAGGTTTTCCTGTAGCTCAAACAGTAGGTCATGGGTTCGATTCACATGGGAAACCAAGAACTGATCAAATGTAAATGTGTACCTTGAATGCAGTGTAAGTAGCTTTGGACAAAAGTCTCTGCCAAATGCATACATGTAAATGTAAATATCTTAGACTAGATAGTGACCCTTCGAATATTGTCTTGGACAATAGAGGAGCCTTGAATTCACAAAGAATCCAAGATTTTCACCGCCACAAAAAGAAAAACTTTCACACACTGAAAAAATACACACAGTGGTATCCATTTGCTTATCTGTTGAATCAACAATATTTTTTGGAAAATTCTGAGGTACTTAGCCTCCTCTTCTAGCAGTTACACAATAAACCCGAAAGACAGAATAATAATTATATTTTGCATAAAGAATATAAGTATATATGTATATGTATGTGTCTGTATGCATATATGTATGTGTATGTGTATGTGTATGTATGTATATATGTATATGTATGTGTATGTATGTATATATGTATGTGTATGTGTATGTATGTATATATGTGTATGTATGTGTATGTATGTGTGTATATATGTGTATGTGTATGCATGTATATATGTATGTGTATGTGTATGTATGTATATATGTATGTGTATGTATGTATATATGTATATGTATGTGTATGTATGTATGTGTATGTATGTATATATGTATGTGTATGTATGTATATATGTATATGTATGTGTATGTATGTATATATGTATATGTGTATGTATGTGTATGCATGTGTATATATATGTATGTATATGTATGTGTATGTATGTATATATGTATGTGTATGTGTATATATGTATATGTATGTGTGTGTATGTATATATGTATGTATATGTATGTGTTATGTGTGTGTATGTATGTGTATGTATGTGTGTATGTGTATGTATGTGTATATATGTGTATGTGTATGTATGTGTATGTATGTATGTATATATATATATGTATATGTATGTATGTGTGTATGTATATATATATATATATATATATATATATATATACAGTGGGTACGGAAAGTATTCAGACGTGTGTATAATATATGTATGGATGTGTGTGTGTATTATATATATATATATATATATATGTGTGTATGTGTGTGTATATATATGTGTGTATGTATGTATGTATGTGTGTATGTATATATGTATGTATGTATGTGTGTGTGTGTATATGTGTATATGTATTATATATGTATGTATATATATATATATATATATATATATATATATATATATATATATATATATATATTTTGGATAAAAGCGTCTGCTAAATGACTAAATAAATAAAGAAAGAAAGAAAGAAAAAAATAGCCAGTATTTGGGATCATTGATCATTTGCATTGATTGCAATGTTGCATAATTTTAGCGATTATAAAATACATTTCCCTCCATCTCTCATCGCCGTAATGCAAAAACTAAAACAATTCTTATTAATGTAATTCATCAGTGATCAGCGAAAATTATTTTATGAATAAATGTATTGGCAAAATATTTATACATGCATGCATACAACATTGCAGTATGTGATTCATTAATTTATGCTAATTTAAGGTTCATTAGTTAACACAAGTTAACTACTTCAGTTAGTTACTGAGCATGACCAATACTTCTACAGCATTTATTAATCTTATTGAATGTTAATTTCAACATTTACTAATGCATTATTAAAACCAAAAGTTGTGCTTGTTTTCCCCGCTAGAGGGAACCATTTGCATACATGTTACAAGTATCTCTAGTCAATCTTTTTGCAGGGAATTTGAGGCATTTGTAAAAGAATACTGCTAATTTTTCTGTGTTTGAAAATAGTTCAGGTACGTTTGCTTCTCTGAATTTACAGTTGAAGTTAACTATGGAGCAATGCGTCCGTAAGTGACAATGTATAAAGTCCATTTGAATGGTTTCACCAACCTGGCGTATGTTTTCTTCATTTTAAAAAATTAAACAGCAGATCTCCTAGCTTTTCCAGCGGGTTCCACAAAATACAACGGTGTGCTTTGACCTCCATTTCAAGTACACAGGAAAACCACCAAGAGTGCCCTGGCTTGTCTTTACTCTTTGCATTTCTCATTCAATTTCTGTCCCAGGTCATCGCTGGTCTCTTGAGAGAACTGATACTGTTCATCAGCTGTCCAGCGCTACTTCATAATGGCACTTTGGCCAAAACAGACACTGACGCAGCATCCTCTCACTTCAAACGATTAACCAGTTTGGCTTTTCTTATTTAAAAAAAAATAGATCATTTAATTTAGTATGAGCGTTATTGGCATTTGTGATATCACCACAGGGAATGTCACCAATGCACCTGAGGTACAGTGTCCATGGAAAATAAACCATCGTTGCATATAATTGTTATATAATGTGTTGACAACCCTTCTGTGCCCCTGACAAAGACACTGGCCTGATACTTCACTTCAGTACCTCTGCAGTATAGGATATAGTGGTCTCAACAAATAACTGAAAACAGTTTCAGGAATCATTTATGATCATTCAAATATATTTTTCATTGTATATTTAGAATTAGTTCAGTTTGATTTATAGAATTGTAAAACTACCAATACTATATATATATATATGTGTGTGTGTGTGTATGTGTGTGTGTGTGTGTGTGTGTG